ATGACAGAGTCTTCGGGACACTTCCAAGGGTACACCTCGAATAGATCTAGTTGTTGCCAATACCAAGTAAGAGTATTGAAGTATTGAGTGACGGAGAAATGACCTTGATGAAAGTCATGAAGAATGATCTCAGCAGCAAATAGTTCGCTTGTATTGTCCGAACTTGAATAGGTCTCACGGGCAGCATCCCAGATTTCCTTAGTCGTGTCATAGAGAAGAAAATTTTCGTCAATATCAAGTGTCATCGAGTTAACAAGTCAGACCATAACCATATTATTCTCGGATTTTCAAGTCTTGTATGACGGATCTGTCGTCATCGGAGCTGGAGCATCACCAGTGAGGTAGTAATCTTTGCATTTGCCGCATACAAACATCATGACTGACTGCGACCATTTGAGGTAATTCTGACCGATGAGTTTGTGGCTGGTGATGAGATGGAGACCCGGCGGCGGAGGGGTGGCTAGAAGTGACATCACTAGTGGAGGAGGAGTTGCAGGCATGGCCGTACATAGTCATTAGAGAGGAGAGGTGGCCAGCAGAATGACCAGAGATGAGGTTTCGCTGACGAGGAACACGGCTGGAACGAGCTGTGCTTGATCGCGGAAGAAGAGTCGGCGCTCATGTGCGGATGCGGTCGAAGAGCAGAGAGAGGAGAGTCTCGGATTCGGATGCGCGACTCTGACGATCGAGAGAGTTGCGGATTCGGAGAAGACCAGAGAAGAGTCGGAAGAAGAATCGAATGCGGTCGATCGGGACGCAGACGATCGGAACAGGCGCTCGACGATCGGGACGAAGAGCGGCGCTCGGACACGGACGATCGGGGCAGGTGCAAATTAGAGCAGCGCTCGAACAAGGACGATCGCAGGAGATAAGGGTCGTGATCGAGTCGAGCGGGAGAGGCTTCCTTGGCTCTGATACCATGTGAGTTTTGAACACTCATTTTCTCATATGAATATATAAATAATTCACCTATAAATAAGCGAGTACAGGAAATAGAAAGAGGAAAGAAATCTTCCTACAATTAAGTAATTCCTATAATTACGAAATAAACATAAATACCTAAAATTAAGGAATTACCATTTTTATACTATGACTAAATATAGCAAGCACTAAATAGAATTAAAGTAAATAATAAGAAGCGTAATTCCACATATTTTTTATTTTTGAATCAATTTGATTTTATGAAACAAAATAAACCAAAAAATTAAATAATATTAAATTTGGAAAATTATATTCAACTGGACTCCGCCACTTCGTTAATCTTGCAATCTAGTATAGAAGGAGAGAAAGAAGATCAGAATAATCTCTCAAAGCAAAACTTTGATTTTAAATAAACTCAAAACTAAATTTTGATTTGCAAAATCAGAATGAAAACCATATTACATTTTGGTTCGATTTGGATTCATTTTAGACATGTTTAGCTAATTTGATTTTTAAGATTTTGGACTTCATTTTAGCACGGCATGACTAATCTAAAACTACATATAGATAAATCGATGAAGCCTCTAAAGAAACCTGAAATCTTGCATCTAAAATCAATGCTGCCTACAGACTTCTCAATACAGAAACTAATGTTTTTCTCAAGAAATAATCAAACTCAGTGTATCTCATGTAATATGTAACTTGGATTAAATTCTGTGGTCTATTAACCTGCAACATATCACTTGCTTGTCTAGGTAGCACATGTACTGTTATGCCAGAAAACAATAGAGAATCAATAAATTAGTCATATTTGGAGATAGGCTCATTGCTTGTATATTATACAGCCTGAATGAATAACTATTTGAGATTTTGTAAAAATATGTGAATGAAACTCTTACTTTGATATTAGATTAATATAATGTGTAGGGTGGTTCGCTGCTGTTATATCAGAAAAGATAGAGTAAAACACATTCTCTTAATTTTTTGGATATTTAGAGAAAGCAAATATTTTGGATATCTAACTATGTTCTCATAAGTTCCCATAAGTTTATACCTTAATTTGGTGCGTAAGTATGGCGGTTGCCCAAATTAAAAGTAAATTTGATTATTGTAGTTCACTGGCAGGAGAAGCTTGAAAGTTTGAAAAGCCATAAAAATATAGAATTATTCATACTTGTATCGTATCGGTTGTGATCCAAACCGGTTTGTTCTTCCTCGGCCAAAATGCAAGAAAGCCAAACAAAGCTTCGAAATCCTTTGTCATGTCATGAACTCAACCCGGCTTCTCCTTCCCAATGGCACGAATCGAGTGAACTCCGTAAGCCGCAATCACCGCACGCAGCAACCTATGCTCTCCCTTTCTCGCCTCAGCTCTCCGGATTTAAGAAGGAAGAACTAGGTCATCGCACTCCAATATCAATGCGCCATCTATTTGAAAAGCAGGACGCGCGTGAGTAAGAAAATTGAAAATGTGATCATTCAAAAACCGCCACCATTCCTATATTTTGCTATAGGATTTTCCTTTCATTTTCCGTCTAGGGTTTTAGTGATTACCCTCTCTGAGTTGTCGGAGTAGCTCCGGTTATTGAAGGTAAAGCTTAGGTTTTCTACAATGATTTACGAAGTGCGACATCATCATTTACTTTGGTAAGCTTTCAAAGGAGCTTTCGGTTGTTTTTAAACATGTAAACTCATAAAAATTCATGTATTTGTTTATTTCAAAATAAGTTTAATACATAATGGATACTATTAATATAACATATA